CAAGTTTAACCAAGTTTAACCAAGTTTGACCAAGTGCAGTCAAGTTTGAGCAAGTTTTAATCAAAGCTTGGCCAAGTTTTAATCAGGTTTAACCAAGTTTGACCAACATTAACGAAGTTTGACCAAGTTCAACCAAGCTTGACCAAGTTTAATCAAGTTTAACCAAGTTTGGCCATGTTTTAATCACGTTTGACCATGTTTAATCAAGTTTAACCAACGTTGGATAAGTTTTAATCACGGTTGATCAAGTTTAACGAAGTTTGACCAAGTTCAATAAAGTTTGACAAAGTTTAACCAAGTTTTAACCAAGTTTGATCAAGTTTAACCAAGTTTGGACAAGTTTTAAACACGATTGACCAAGTTTAACCACGTTTTAACCAAATTTGACCAAGTTAATAAAATTTGACAAAGTTTAACCAAGTTCAATCAACTTTAACAAAGTTTGACTAAGTTTAATCAGGTTTAACCAAGTTTGGACAAGTTTTAATCACGTTTGACCAAGTTAAACCAAGTTTCAATTAAGTTTAACCAAGTTTTAACTAAGTTTGACCACGTTTAATCAAGTTTAACCAAGTTTGGCCAAGTTTAACCAAGTTTCAACCAAGTCTGACCAATTTTTAACCAAGTTCGATCAAGTTTAACCAAGCTTTAATCAAGTCTGACCAAGTTTTAATCAAGTTTGACCAAGTTTAATCAAGTTAAACCAAGTTTGGACAAGTTTTAATCACATTTGGCCAAGTTAAGCCTAGTTTCAATTAAGTTTAACCAAGTTTTAACTAAGTTTGACCACGTTTAATCAAGTTTAACCAAGTTTGGCCAAGTTGTAATCAAGTTCAACCAAGTTTTAACTAAGTTCGACCAAGTTTAACCAAGTTTCAACCAAGTCTGACCAATTTTTAACCAAGTTCGATCAAGTTTAACCAAGCTTTAATCAAGTCTAACCAAGTTTGACCAAGCTTAATCAAGTTAAACCAAGTTTGGACAAGTTTTAATCACATTTGGCCGAGTTAAGCCAAGTTTTAATTAAGTTTAACCAAGTTTTAACTTAGTTTGACCACGTTTAATCAAGTTTAACCAAGTTTGGGCAAGTTTTAATCACGTTTGGCCAAGTTGTAATCAAGTTTAACCAAGTTTAATCAAGTTAAACCAAGTTTAACTAAGTTTAATAAAGTTTGACCAAGTTAAACTGAATTCAGTCTTTCTCCTCCATTCACTTTTCTCATAAAACGAATTGTCGCGTACGTTGTTTAGGTGCGACACCAGCGCAGCGCGTGTTCAGAATCAGAATGAACTTCCCAACGTCGGTATTGTGCAACGAGGCCGGCCAAGGAGTGCTGAAGAAGAAAGTTCGAGACGCGGTGAATTCTCTGAACAGAGACTGGAACTTCTGTTCGTACTCGTACGAAGGTGAGTCGTAGGTTTTAATACATTGTTGTCTATTGTTATTATTATTATTATTATTATAAATTTATTTTTAATCGTAATTGAGCACGAAAGCGAAACAATCGAAATAAATTTTCAAATAATAATAAAATTTTACGTATTATATTTTACGCGTATAATATATTTTAGTAATTTTTTTTTTTTTTTTTTTTTGGTGTGATAAACTGTCAATTTCCTACAAAATATTTCAAAATCGGGTAGATCGAACAGACAGACAAATTCATTGAAATGTTCGCGAATTATACACTTCATCGTCACGATCTGTCGTGATTGAAATGTTTGTAAGAATTGAAATTTGTGAGGAATTGCGATAGAAACCTAAATATCAATAAAAAGTAATTTTTTTCTTATAATAAAACGAAGAGAATGAAGGAAAAGATTTCGCAATATCCTCTATTAACTGAGTGTCGAAAATGTAAATAGCTAATGCAAGTGCAAACACGAGATCGGTGAACAAAATGTGTTCAGAGTCATCAGACGATGAAGCTTCGTGTCAAAAAGTCCCTAAACGTACGAACTTTGTTTCTCTGTAGGGACTCGCGAGTGCAAGGACCTGCAGATCGACGTGCAATGCGATCATCGGGTACGCACGACCAGAGACGCGAACGAGGAAGACGGTGGAACCTACATAATCTCCGCGGTAGTGCCAGCCGAACCGTAAGTATAGCGTATCTGTTCTCGTTGTTGCATTGATTAAATTGCCAAAAAAAAAAAAAAAAAAAAAAAAAAAAAAA